TGAACAGATTCAAATACCACCAGATACACTCCATTACACAATAGGTACGGCTAGAAACAATATAGGTACATATAATATAAATAAAGATAGCCGTTAACACTGTTAAATTATAATAATAAATCATCAAAGAAAGGTAAATACAGTGTTTAATAAATAAATATATATATATATATATATATATATATATATATATATATATATATATATCATAGTGGTCAATATTCTACAAGCCTCGTCGTAGTGTATAGGCCTATATTATAATACAATTAATACGAAAGTCGGTAACAAAAGACAAAAATAGATAATATAAGATGAGTGAACTGCACAAAAATATAGAACAATGTATTGCGAAACGATAATTATCAGGTGCATGAGCTAAACGCTAGAATTTATTCTCATAAATAATTTTACAACTCCCGTAGCCACATGCGTACCATCAATTAGACAAAAGGAAAAGGGAAAAAAACAAAAAAAACGGCGTAATACAGTAGGTTTTTGGCATAATACTCCGCATGCTCGCCAAAATTGGGGGCCGCATCCTGGAAAAAAATCTACTCAACAATTTGATTCTACTGCTTTGATTTGATTCTTTTCATATGTATTTTTTTAAAATTTGTAACTGGGGATGATCGCGGAGATTACATAACCTTGGTGCCCCACTCCGGCTCAACACTGACTTTCGGATTTAGCCTTTTATACGACCCATCAAACTGAGTCGAGTTAAAGTAGTATCTTTTAATAAATGGGTAGAATACGCATAATTTTTGGCAGACACACACGATAAAACACTGTATACAGTACCGGGATACAATATATTAGTGAAATACTGTAAATCAAAACAACATAAAATATGAAGACGTCGACAACAAATTCTCCAAAACCCGATTTCATTAAATTGACGCCCCACGGTGGCTATAATATTGTTTTGTTTTGAACACCATTTTTCTTTTATAACTCAGCGCGCTATGTCTCAAAAACATGGAACTCATGTACGACGCGACGTTTTTAGCTTTCGGTAAACATTGCTGAGTGTTGCTTATGATAATCTGAATACATCTTTAAATCCTGATCTTAAAGGTAATTGGTTATATAATATACTGTTATATAATTGTATTCAAAGTCATTAACATGTATATTGTTTGAATATGAAGGCAGTGTTTGCTACGATTTAATCGTTAAACATAGACTAGCTTAGCTAGATTCGACGGGAAAGTTGCATTCAGGCCCGCTGCCTACGCCTGCCGTCTAGGCTGGGTAGTATTGTCAAACTTACTAAGCTAGGCCTACTGATTCAAGAATGAAGAAATTTAATTTGTCCATATAAAAATACAGAAAATTGTAAACCAAGTAGACTTCTAGAGATTTGAACCCGGGGCTGGTAGTGTAGAAAACACTCTTTTAACCACTGCACCAAACCGATTTCACTTCTACTAGCTAGGCCTACTACTAAACTTTAGTACTGTAGGCTAGGCCTAGGCTAGTTACTAGGCCCAGCCTCTGCAGTTAATTAAGGTTAGGGTACAGGCCATTTTAAACATTCTTTTCTGGTAGACCTGGCCTAGGTAGGGACTAGTCTAGGCTTAAAATGTGCAATTGTTTGCAGAATGTAATAGGTCTAGGCTCTAGTAGGCATAGGCCTAGGCCAACCCCTGCTGCTATTCGACTAGAAGATGGTAACTAGTTGCTTAGTGTAGGCCTCAATATGAGTTACTGTATGTAGCCTAGGCTAGGTAGGACTAGGGCCTAAATAGGCCCCACTCTAATGCAGAGCCTAGTCCTGGTTCATTCAGTGAAACTTTTCATTTTTTTTTTTCAGATTTTGTGCAATGTTTTTGTACAATCTAACTTTACAAAGGTCATCGGGAGTGACCCATGCTATCCATGGAAACTTCTCCGGAACAAAACAGCAAGAAATAGTTGTATCCAGAGGGAAGATCATTGAGCTCCTTCGTACCGACCCAAACACAGGCAAAGTTTACACACTGCTTACCCATGAGATATTTGGTGTTGTGAGGGCGTTGATGGCCTTCAAGTTAACTGGAGGAACAAAAGGTAAAATCAAAATCTTTATGGCTAAACCAGTAAGATGAGGCCCTGCGGTACCAAACCACATGACATTGACACTTTTCATAAACATATCCGGAACAGTACTTTTGTATACATGTAGAGCAAGTATGATGATAATAGTTGCAATGTCAGAGACCAAACTTGCGTTACCATTTAATTATATTTTGAATGCTTATTAATTGTTGTAGATTACATCATTATTGGATCAGACTCTGGTAGAATTGTCATTCTGGAGTATTTACCTGCAAAAAATGTCTTTGACAAGGTATGTGTTTGAAGCTTTCATATTTTTTTCAAATGAAATAAAATTTTTAATTAAATGTGGGGAAAATCATTTAAGTGTGTTTCATCATTCACAAAAATCAGTTCTAATATTTGTATCATTACACACAGATCCATCAGGAAACGTTTGGCAAAAGTGGTTGTCGACGGATCGTGCCAGGTCAACATTTAGCAGTTGATCCCAAAGGGCGTGCCGTGATGATCGGTGCCGTTGAGAAACAGAAGCTGGTGTACATTCTGAATCGAGATGCCCAAGCAAGACTTACCATATCATCACCACTGGAGGCTCACAAGTCCAACACTTTTTGTTATCATATCGTTGGTGTTGATGTTGGCTTTGAGAATCCAATGTTTGCATGTCTTGAAGTTGATTATGAGGTGAGTAGCCTGTATAGTGTTTGATGCATCATGAACATTGATAGTAGCCACTGCATGTTCACTAAACCATAATGATCTCTTGGTTTCCTGCTATAACACTACTGTACTCACACATAATTTTTGATAGTGCACCACCATTTGATGATTGAATATGCTGTTTGAATGTAATGGTTTTGTTTCCTTTGATGTTTCACCAGGCTGTTCAAATTTTTTTTTCTTTTTTCGATCAGACTGACCAGTTAAAAGGTTAGTTTTACCAAAAAAACATTTCAAATCAAACAGGACAGGAGCAAATTGGAATTATTATAGTTTACCAGTCTAGTAACTAAACAAGTTGTGTTAGAAGGGGTGGCAGGTGATTGTTCACATTTCAACACTATGTGGTATTAAAGAGTTCTATACAATATAATTTCTGAGCTCTTTGGATGTATAGTGATATGGATGAGATGTATCATTTTCCTTTTTAAAAATGTCAATATTTTCCTTCTAAAAACAACTCTATAGCCCGGATCGGTCTGAGACCAATTGGAAGACAGGCCAATCCACCACAATCACAAAGGTGTAGATCAGTTATAGTTGGACTGCCATGACACTCTTATAGTACTTTACCAATGTATACTTTGTTTCAATTGTTTAGGAGGCTGACAGCGACCCAACTGGAGAGGCTGCTCAAACCACACAGCAGATGTTGACTTACTATGAGTTGGATCTTGGTCTGAATCATGTTGTCAGGAAGTACAGTGAACCGTTAGAAGAACACGGCAATTTTCTCATTCCAGGTAAGAAGTTAAAGGTATTACAGTCACCCTTGCCCAAGCCATTGAAGCATTTAACACTGGGAACAGTTTGTCAACTGTGCATAAGTGGAAAATATGTCCATGTTGAATTATTTCCTATACTGCTTTGTTTTCCCTTTACATTTGAATATATACTTGCTATACCTTGAATACATCAAAAGTCAAATAACATAAAAGTTGATTTACTTAAATAGAGAAAGAAAAATAAACCATTGCATCTGAAATTAGCTCTAATGTTATTACTATTGGATGAAGTATATTTATATAGTATTTAAGTTATTGCTCATATAAATTCATCATCTTTACTTTTCGTTCTTCCTCGGCAGTACCCGGAGGCAGCGATGGGCCCAGTGGGGTACTCATCTGCTCCGAGAATTACATAACATATAAAAACCTTGGTGACCAACCAGACATTCGAATGCCCATTCCAAGAAGGCGCAACGATCTTGATGACCCTGAGCGTGGTCTGATATTTGTTTGCAGTGCAGCACATAAAACAAAAGTAAGTTGGATGAGGAACTGTATTTTGTATTTTTATTTGCTAAGATTGTGTTAAATATCACACTTTATGTATTTTTATCATTTCAATTGACAAATAATTAAACACAAAGCTAGCATTTTCACTAAATATTTTTTTAATTGGCTTTGTAAAGGAAGTGTCCAAGAAATAAGATATTGGCAGTCCAGTTTTTATCTTAATAGGACCATAATTTAACTCTTTCTTTTGTTTATTTAACATTTTATTTTGTTGTGTTTTTCCAGTCCATGTTCTTCTTCTTGGCTCAGACAGAGCAAGGAGACATCTTCAAGATAACATTAGAAACAGATGAGGATATGGTGACTGAAATCCGTCTGAAGTACTTTGACACCGTGCCTGTAGCAACTTCAATGTGTGTGCTAAAAACAGGATTTTTATTTGTTGCCTCCGAATTTGGAAACCAGTAAGTCAAATCAACTTTCCTGAATGTTTCTCAATGTTTATGTCATCAAATAATGTTGGTGATAATAATAATTACTATGACACTGACGGTAATAATAATGTTGATGTCTTCCTATCGTCATCAACATGATGATGATAATTGTTGTCTTAATTGCTCATCATCAACATAATGATTGTCTTCATCTTCACGATGAAGATGATAATGGTAGTGTTGATGATGATGAGATGATGATGGCAACTTTGTAGTCGTGAATAGTGTCCTATTATCTACAATGTTTTTCCACCATTGACATCTTTTTGTTTTGTAGTAATTTATACCAAATAGCTCACCTTGGCGATGATGACGAGGAGCCCGAGTTTAGCAGCACAATGCCTCTGGAAGAGGGCGACACATTCTTCTTTGCTCCAAGACCACTCAAGAATCTTATGATTGTGGACGAATTGGAAAGTCTTTCACCTATAATGTCATGCCAGGTGAGGTATTTAAATAATAATAGATTAATTAAATCACCATGGCAGTCAAAAGTTACATTTTTTGTCATTTTTTTCATTCATTAAAAGATTTAATTAAATTTCTGTGATGTATTACCTACATTTTTATGTATTATTTTAAATTCATACTTGTAATTGATAAACACTATTATTACAATGTTAGACATTGACATTTAATTTATATTTTGTAGTCATTTTGTTGTTATGTGACTATACTTTCCTTATAATTGTTGACACATCTGGGATGTTTTCATATGGAATAAATAAAGAAAATAATAATTTGTTTTTTGGTAGATTGCTGATCTTGCTAATGAAGACACTCCACAGATGTATGCAGCATGTGGGAGAGGGCCAAGATCATCAATGAGGGTGCTCAGACATGGTTTGGAGGTTAGTTATAGTAGTATTACTTGTACAGGTTTTATTATTATTAATCTTTAATTACTTGCATTGCGTATAGCAGATTTATATGTTTTACATTGTATAAGATAGTATAATACATACTCCAAGTATCGAAATGCATGCCATCGTGTCGGGATTCAATATTTTTTCGACATTAATTATGTCATCATCATTCCTGATGATTACATCATTAATATTTAAATATTGAATCCTGATGATGGTCTGCATTTCGATACTTGGAGTATGTATTATACTATCTTATCTGAGATTAATCTGTGGACCTTTCGGTTACATTGTATTCCTTTCAGGTATCTGAAATGGCCGTGTCAGAGCTGCCAGGTAACCCAAATGCTGTGTGGACTGTCAAACGAGTTAGTGATGGTAAATTTATTTGTTTATTTGAATTATTCATCAAAATATTCATATTGTCATCATTATCACACCATATTAAATGTGTTATATTAATATTTATACCATAATTTACCAGTTGATTGTGAAAACATAGCATTGGTATGGAAATTTAAATATGTTTACCAGCTTCTTTTCAATGTACAATAGAATCTTAGTGACTTTATTTCCATAACAGTAAAATATAAATTATACTGTAATTGCATATTATGCATAACATGAGAAAAATGTGTTTAAAATTGAAAAATTCTAAGGGAGTATATCAATTTGGCCTCATAGCTCAATTTGTAGAGCATTCAAATGATATATTAGGATTTGGATGCTTATTGATATGCAATAGCATTTTCTTCTATAGCCAATATCTGATTACTTATTTATTAATTTCTTTGTTGTATTCCTTGTCTAGATGAATTTGATGCTTATATCATTGTGTCTTTCGTCAACGCTACCCTTGTCTTGTCTATTGGAGAAACCGTTGAAGAGGTCACAGATTCTGGATTTCTTGGAACAACCCCAACACTTTCCTCCTCTCTCATTGGTGAAGACTCACTTTTACAGGTATATTATTTGAATAAAATTATGCTATTTTGTTTTGTAATAAATTATTTAAATATATTTTAATATAATTTTTAGCTAGTAACTAAATTATTTATAAAATTAAGAGAAAAATGGTTTTCAATGTCAAATTTATAAAGTACATGAGACTGTCTAGATTATCAACTTTTTATTGACAAAAAACTTGTATGTCCATATATAGTCATGATGTGCCTATATATGGTCATGATGTGCCTATATATGGTCATGATGGGATATTATCATGACCATATTTAGGCATGTTGCATGTTTTTGTCGCATAAAATTTAATAGTGAGGACAGACCTTTAAAATATTTTTTTTTCCATTCATTGAAGATTTATCCAGATGGCATCCGTCATATTCGCTCTGACAAACGTGTAAATGAATGGAAGACACCGGGAAAGAAAAACATCGTGAAATGTGCAGTAAACCAGAGACAGGTAACAGATGAGTGTTTTTGTTATGCAACAATGTAATTTGTTAGTTGAAAAATGCTCAGTACCTCCTAGATATTAGACAATTATCTTATCTTTGTGTCTTGTATTTTTGATACTTTTTGTATTGTTGGCATTAAATGTTGTTCTTGTTTTCAATTCTTAGGTCGTGATTGCTCTTTCCGGTGGTGAACTGGTGTACTTTGAGATGGATCCAGTAAGTGGTTTTTTTGTATTAATACTCCCCTATAATTGTTTGATAAAATCCGACTAATAGAACATCATTGAAATAATAATATCACATTCTACCAAGCTGTCAGCTGGAATTAAAAATGACAACAGAACATAAAAAACGACAGTATTTTTTATATATTTTTGTTACTTATTACAAGTGAGCAATGTAATATCCAGCAACTGACAATAAAGTAATCTGAATCTGTCTATGCCCAATCTGTATTTTATATGCAGGAATATTTAAATATTTTGATTGTAAGTCTAACAACTTACACTAGAAGTACATTGTTTTACCTAATAATCTATTAGAAATCAGTAAATAAATTATTCTAAACTTTTATTCTACACTAATGAATTGTGTTGTTTTATTTTTTTGTAGACTGGTCAATTGAATGAGTATACTGAACGGAAGGAGATGTCAGCTGATGTGAAGTGCATGAGCTTAGCCAGTGTTCCTGCTGGTGAACAGAGAGCGAGGTTTCTGGCTGTTGGTCTGGATGACAACACTGTCAGAATTATCTCTTTAGACCAATCAGTAAGTTAGTCCTTAAATGTATTATAGGTTAAAATTTTCTCACACGAATCATGTCACATTTTCTGAGATTTGAACCCAGATCTGTTGAGCTGCTAGTATTAATCTTTTCAAGTCATGGCTGAAACATACCCAGTGTTTTGTCTTTTATTCATATTCTGTAGGTATTTTATCTGATCACAATCATTTTTTTTTTTTGTTTTGTCTGTAGGATTGTCTACAGCCACTGAGTATGCAGGCTCTTCCAGCCCCTGCTGAAGCGCTTTGTATCGTTGAAATGGGAGGAACAGAAGCTAGGGAAGAGTCTGGTGAGGGTGGTACAAGAGGTGGGCTGTACCTTAACATTGGATTACAAGTAAGTAAAACAGTTATTAGCTGTCATATACATTACTCACTGGTTACTAAAGAGTTTTTAGTTATATATCTATCTGATTTTGATATGATCCATATTAGCCTGATTATAGTTTTTTGTTGTCAAAATCTTTAACATTTTAACGAGTGATTGCTAATTAACCAATCATACTGTCATATTCTATAATTGCCAAAAATCCAAATTTTTCTATATACAGTAATTAATTATTTATTTAAATTTGTTTGAACAATATTTATAGAGAGTGACCAGTTCAGCCCATGTCAGCTGATATTCATGTTTCATAAATATTTCAAACATTTCTGAAAATTACCTGCTTTGATAATTTTAATGGTACTTGAATATTAGCTGACCTTGGCTTGACTGAAACTTAAGTAAACTGAAATGTTCAAAATTACCTCTTTTGCTAATTTCCATCCATTAAGGATAACCTTTTCTTCTGCCCCTTTGTTACGTTACAAATATATTCATTTTGAATGTCTTTTTTTTTAACTTTAAGAATGGAGTATTATTGAGGACTGTGTTGGATTCTGTGACTGGTGATTTATCCGACACAAGAACACGTTATCTGGGGTCACGACCTGTCAAGTTGTTTAGAGTTATGATGCAGGGCTCACAGGCTGTAAGTATCATCTTTGATTAAATATGATTTAAATATAATTTAAATATAATTTTTTAAATCTGGAAAATACCTCAAAATTTTAATTTAAAAAAAATTGAACTTCTCATCTAAAAAGGATGTTAATATCCAGTAGGACACAGATAAAAACAATCATATTTTCACTGGTTTTACACATGAATTTCAATGTAGTAATAAACAGGGATTTGTTTTTATAGGTGTTAGCAATGTCGAGTCGGTCTTGGTTGAGTTATTGGTATCAGTCTCGTTTTCATCTGACGCCTTTGTCCTATGAATCATTGGAATACGCTTCAGGGTTCGCATCAGAGCAATGTCCAGAAGGCATTGTAGCTATCTCTACTAACACTTTGAGGTATGAATGTATCATTTTTATTCCTCTTAAGGTGTTTTAATTCTGTTTATTATATTTAGCTTTAAAATTATTGTGGTAGCTTTGAGTATAAAGCAGATATCGGAAGCACCAGGTTATGATTTCAATAATGTTACTTTGAATTATCCATTATGGGAGATGTAACCTTGCATGGAGACTTGAGAATGTTTATCTGTACACTGGTTGTGTGCATTGAGGTAGAGGTACAAGGCTACTGACACTACAGAAGACCGGATCAATCAGGTGATGAATGAATGAATCAATAGCGAGCTTTCGATGTGACACTAGAAGGGAATCACTCATGCGTGACTGTCCTACCAGGCGTCCTACCTTTTCTGCATACGTACGTTTGGCCAAAATGCGTTCTAGAATCCATGCAATAACGCTCACATGACTTTTAATGAAGTCATTACGTTCTACGTTCTACCGTCGTTGTGCAATCGAAACCTCCCTAATATAGTGTATGTGAATGTATACATTATAATAGCCCAGTTTGATTAAATCTTCTTTTTAATTTTTATTTTAGAATTTTGGCATTGGAGAAGTTAGGAGCTGTTTTCAACCAAGTATCTGTTCCTCTTAAATTCACACCAAGGAAGTTTGTGATCCCACCAGAAAGTAACAACTTAATTCTAATTGAAACTGACCACAATGCTTATACAGACACAACAAAAGCGCAACGCAAACAGCAAATGGCAGAGGTAATTATATCCACAAGTATTCACTTTTGTATCAGACGCCCCCCCCCCACCCACATTTATCAAATGAGATACATATGCCATTCGTCCAATGATTGGGGCTAAGTTGCCCGAATACTTTGGTCGGCAACAATCAAACATTACCTGTATTTTACCCATATCATGAATGTATTGAGAACCCCTGTTATAGACAGGAGTCTCCAGTTGGAAGAAATCCCTTCCGTGAGATCTTATTAAATGAGCTTTCTTAGCGTATTTGATTTTACTTTTTTTGAGCATGGTGATACCCATCGGCACTGACTTCCATGAGACAATTGATAATGAAGAAGTAAAAAACATACAAATAATTATGAATTTGCGGGACAATAGTAATTTTCCGGTAGGTTCTTGCTTGCTTGCGGGAGTGTGGAAGGCAGCCCCGTTTTCTGGGAGACTCCACTTGCGACTACAGGGAGACTTGAGACTCGTGTATAGCACATCACTCTGTTTATGTCCATCATGTATTTACCCATATTTATTTGTTCATCAGGAAATGGTAGAGGCTGCCGGGGAGGAAGAGCGGGAACTAGCAGCTGAAATGGCGGCAGCCTTTATTAATGAGGAATTACCGGACACAGTATTCGGAGCTCCTAAAGCTGGGGCTGGCATGTGGGCGTCAGTTATTAGATTGCTGAACCCTGTCTCGGGCAACACACTTCATTTGATCCAATTAGAACAGAATGAATCTGCACTCAGGTGAATATTTTTTTTTTTTTTTTTTTTGTCTTTTTTTTGAATACTTAACTGGATAAACTTATTGCTAATCATTCCTTAACTATAAGTGTACCTCAAAAACAGTAGAATTGTCAGTCACTACTTTGCCAATTACCATTCTTATTTTCTAATTATTATTATTTACCGCTCCACAATTGAAGAGCGTCAAGAGTTGAAATGATGTTTCATTATAAGTAAACAAACTAATTCTCTCTTATGTCTTCTGATATGACTATTACTATTGTACTGTAGTTACAACATAATGTTTGTTTCTTGATTCAAGGTGACGAATTGTATTTGTTCATTATCTTTTTTGGAGTAATGAATATTAACTGTTTGAATTATTTTTGTAGTCTGGCTGTGTGCAAGTTTGGTAATAGAGGTGATGAAGATGTGTTCTTGATTGTGGGAACGGCAAAGGACATGACGCTTAGCCCAAGGACATGTTCAGGGGGATTTCTTCACACATACCAAATCACAGAGAACGGCTGCAACCTTCAACTATTGCACAAGGTATTTCTTGGCTTTTAATTCTTTTAGTTATGCACTTTCAAGGTTACACAGATAGAAACTACTAAATTTTGCAGGTTCCATTCATTTTTTATTATGAAAATCTTTGATTACCAGGAAATTTATGAGTCCATGTAAAGAATGTAAGAACCATGTTATTTCTATGTCTCGTAATTGGCAAGAAAAATCTTTTTTCACTCGCATTACTGTACCTTGGGGATAAGGTAGTGATGACTTTTTGACCTGTGTTTTTTAAAAGTAATTTTCAGGGAAACTTTTTTTTCCTTTATAGACAACTGTTGATGATGTTCCTGCTGCTATATGTTCATTCCAAGGTAGAGTTCTTGTAGGTGTTGGCAAATTACTTAGAATATATGATCTCGGAAAGAAGAAACTGCTCAGAAAATGTGAAAATAAGGTAAACATTGTTTAATGCTGTAGTGTAACCAGTATTGCCATTGTTCCAATAACTAAAACCCTCCTAAAAACAGGAATGTCCAATCAAAAATCTTAAAATATCTTATTTCAGTTAAAAATTTTTTTGATGATAATGCTGTCTGTTTCAATTTAGTGTATACCTAACAAAAGAACATTCTTAACATAGCAATTTAAACATAACAAAGCCTTGCTTTGCTTTCAGATGATTCCAAACCTTATTGTAAACATTACGACCGTTGGCAACAGGATTCTTGTCAGCGACATCCAGGAGAGTTTCCATTTCGTGCGGTACAAACGAGCAGAAAACAAGTTGATAATTTTCGCTGACGATACTTACCCCCGCTGGATCACAGCCTCCTGCATTCTGGACTACAACACCGTGGTCTGTGCTGACAAGTTCGGCAATATCACAGTTGTAAGTGCAATAATATCTTGAATACATTTACTTATGTAATTATATTGTTAACAAGAAGTGGCATTTGTAAAAGTCTTGAATTGGTGGGAGGGGGAAGATGGAGGGGTGGGCATGCAAAGTGAAGTGGGAGGGTTTGATGAGAGGTGTTAGTTGGCAATATGGGGTGATTTTTAACTCCTCGAGCGTAATTTTTTTTCTTCGAAAATGATTCAGGGGGAGGGGGAACGAGGGAAAGAAGCTCCCATTTTCTGTACCCCTTAGATACACCACTATTAACAAGATGTTATGCAATGTAAAGGATACATGTGCCTTCAAGTTAC